TGAAATAGTCTTAACTTGATAGCTTCAGGAGGTTCTCCATTATATTTAGCAGTTTTCACATGTTCTAGAAAATCAATTAAATAACTATGTGGATATTCAATTGTATCACCAGTGAAGATACAAGATTGTTGAATTGTTTGAATCAGATCGGTCCTGATTTCAAAGTTCTTGGTTGCCACTGGGGGCTTCCTGATACTGGATTCACAGTTGAAGCGATCAAGTCTAGCATAATCCCTAAGAATTCTGTTTGCTGGCCTTGGTGCCACTTCATCAAATTGCTCCTCTACATGGAATTGTGGTGGGATCTCATGTGGGTTAATGTCCTCTGCTTCCTGGTTTCCATTTCTTTACAAGATGCTCCTTGAGAAGACGATGTTTGTTCTTTCCTGCGCAATCGAAGAAATCTTTCAATTTCAGGATCATAATTAGTCAACTCTTTTATAGAAGAGCGGGTCGTAAACTACTTCAAATTTTGAAAGTAAAAAAAAAGATTTACATCAATTCCTAGTGTAGTAGTAGTAATTAATAACTAAACTAAAGTGAATTTCAAAGATAATATAGATAGTTAGTGATGAAAAACAAATATCACAATATTATAAATAATAATACCAGTAATTAGGCTAAAAAGATATAAAATAATGAAACTAACAAGTAAGCGTTAGTATTTATACTAACAACGAATTGAGATAGTATAGTATTATTAAGTTTAAAATAAAGTTGTACTAGTGAATAATAGTGATCAGTAAGAATAACATTGTAGAAATAATAATAATAATAATAATAATAATAAAAATAAAAATAAAAATAATATAATATTACAAAGAAAAATAATAAATAAACAATGATAAGAAAATAATAATAATAATAATAATAATAATAATAATAATAATAATAATAATAATAATAATAATAATAATAATAATATGTAACAAAAAATTATATTGAATTTTTTTTTTAAAAAAGAAGTACGTCGATGTACTGGCAATGAGGGAAAAAAATAATACAACATGTTATAGTACTAATAATAATTACACTAAATATAATGAAGGAAAGCTAATGATAGCAATAATAGGAAGAAGTACTAATATATTTTTTCTTTTCTTTTTTAAGTGTTAGTTAAAAAAGAAAATTATAATATTAATATGACAGTAGCAGTTATAGTACTACTTAGTAAATAGTGATAATAGTAACAGAAAATAATAATAATAAGGTCTCAAATTAGTCATAAAATATTTAATCTGAAGTAGATGTATGCCAATCCCCGGCAACGGCGCCAAAAATTTGACGAGGCCAATGCGTATAGGATTTTCTTGCTCGTGCTTTGTCAAATTCTAGTATAGTTTATGATATCGTCCCACGGAGATTGGAACATCTATGCTACAAACTTTTAATATTTCGACTACTATTTGAGAGAATCAACTTGATGAAAAGTGAATGGTTTAAAACTTGTTAATTACTAAAACAAAAACCAAGAACTTTCGGAAGATTTATAATTTAAAAGAGATGGGAATCGTTGAATTCACTTGATAATATATTACAATAAAATCTCAATTTTTATATGTATCTCTCTGAGGAATAATTACTTATTGCTAATACATATAATAATTAGCTCACTAAGAAGTAGTCAATTAATAGCACTCCGTGAGATTATGTGATTAATTGAGTTAAAACTAGTAACGATTAAACCGAAATATTTTTCTTGCTTGAATTGTGCTAGGAGGTAGTAAAAACTTTGTGAGAATATTTTTACTAAAAAATTAATAATTTTGCCTACAACTATTCCTCCGTGAGAATTAAAACTGAGGCAAGCAAGATTACGAACTTGGAATAATAGTTAATTAAAAATTACTCTCACTTTACTATTTTATTCATTGGTTATTATATATCAATTTTGCTTCGTGAGAATTACAATATCAATATAAGAATAACTTAGAGATAAAATATGTAGAAGCAATAATAATGATTAATTAAAACTATTATTATAGCACAGTACAAAGTATAAAAAGAAAGTTTCAAGCCAATGATGTATTAAAACTAGCATAGTATTATAAATATATATATCAAGCTTCATCAACTATCCCAATAAAAGAAGTTACTCCATTACGAAGTAATAAAAACTAATTTATAAACAAAGAACTTATGAAGAAATATTATTCTTCTAAAAGAAGGACAACTAGTAGAAAATACTAAAAACAAAAGAGAGAGACCAAAGAGTAGTTTTCTCCCAGCAAGACTCGATGTCTTCTATCCAATATTCACACTCTATTTATAGAGTTTTATGCCTAAGGTTCTCCATAGTTGCAACTATGGAAATTGTAGGTGCAACTATGGCCTTGCCAATTGAGTTTCATTCTGCAGAGAAAGAATTGTAGTTTCAACTATAATTCTCTAGTTGCAACTATGTAATTTGCTTCATGATTTCCAATTGCCATCATCGCAACTATGGTGATATAGTCCATTTGCTTCTTCATTCCCAGTTGGCTACTCAATTCCCACTTTTTTGCTTATTTTCTTCAATTTTCATGCGTTGTTCCTCCTGCGAAGTATGTTAGAAAATATGGGAAAACATGATATATTTATTCATGTTTTATTTAAAATCTTTAATATTTAACATATAAAAATATATGAATAAATTATATCCATCAATGTGAGGGTTCAAAATCATCGCTCTATGCTAGTTGAATCACGAAACATTGTTCATGATAATTATAAAATTGTTCGTGATGGATAGTACATAATATTCAAGATTGAGCTCTCAAGCATTTGAAAACCCAAATCAATCAAATTCAAGATTGTGATGGCCATCTCATCTTTGTTTACTCTCTATTGTTGGGACCTGGTATATGTAATTGGGCTGAAGTTGTAGCCTTATTATTTTGGTATCAAATGGTGTAGAGACAACAAATTCGATAAGATTATTGCTAATAGTGACTCCAAGCTGCTGGTGGATTTTGTTAATGGCTATAGTGGTACTCCTTGGAGGATCCTAAAAGAAGTGGAGGAGTTGAAAGTTCATAAGGAACAAACTCGCTTCTTATTGGATCATTGTTTCAGAGAAATCAAACAGGTAACTTACAAGCTAGCATCTATGAGCTATATTTTCTCTCAATCTCATATTTTCCAAAATTTTGCTGAACTTCCAAGACAAGTCAAAGGCCTCGTGGCCGTAGATAAATGGAATTTACCTTCTTTCAGAACCTCTAACAAGAAGAGGACCGACATTATCTTCCAACCTCCATGACTTACGAGCCTTGTGTAATATAGGTAGATCTTAGATGTTTTTGTATAGGTTGGACACATCATATCTCATGGCTAGTTGGTCATTGTATCCATATACCAATAACATTTAGATCATCTTTTGTATTAAAGATAGTTTTGCTATCTTTCAAGCTAAGGATCGGGGAGTTAGATAGGACTTTTTGTGTACTCCCTCAACTCAACGTACTCTGTTTGAAAAGATGAATAAAATACTTTTTTGGTTTTAAAAAAAATCAAGTTTTGAAAACGAGAATCAGGGAACTCTCTTTAGAGTTGAGATAATTTAGAGAATTTAACTGTCATCATTTCTTGATATCAAATATTGTAGTTTCTCACTATTAACCTTGTTTTTTACTTTCTAAGGCACAAAAATTAGTGATGCAATATTATCCCAGATTAAATTCCCAACTTATTACCAATAAATCTCATTTTTATTCTACCTGTCAAATTTTTAAAAGTCATTCTTATAGTGAAAATATACTCAAAATTCACCGAATCTAAATCGTGTTGGTCTAAGTTCCATAATTCAAGATTTACTGCTCGAGTTGTGCGGCTCGAACCAGCTTCTTCCCACTTTTCCTCCTCTCTGTGGTGTTTTGCAGAGGTCGGTTGGCTCAAGACTCAAGTGTTAAAAATGACAGTGACTACTGACTAGCAAGAGTGAGACCATGGTCCAAGTGTTGGGTGGCGTATCTTTTTTCCTTTTGCTATTTTTTATATCATCAAACATTTCGGTTCTTACATGCTTATAGATTCTTTTAGCTATTATTCCACCGTATCATCTAGTCATTAAGAAATGATAGGTTATTAGACTGAGTCTTAGCTTTCACTTTTGTATAAGTACTTCATTTATTTCATTCTATACAATGATATCTTCCTTAAAATATTGTTAAATATGTAATGCAGCCTGAATTTCGTATTAGTATAATGAGGAAAAATTAAAAATACTACTAATAATTAGAGGAATTTGAATTCCTAAAAGTAGTGAAAATTTATAGCATAATATTATTAGTTAAATTGCCCATAAGGGTTGGGTGAATGTTTTTCCACGTAGAAAACCTAAGATTGATTTTTCCCCACCAACCGTCTCAGTAGAGCTCGTGGTTTCGATTTCCCTGGAAGTTTCCAAATATTATTAGTTAAATGGCGATGAATACGTTCTCAAATGCAAAGAGTCTCACGTAAGTTGCTAAGATAAATGCTCTCTGTTTCATGTTATGTAATATTATTTTCTTTTTAATACCTTCAAAAAAGATGGAATACCTTTTAATATTTAAAAATAATTTAATTTTAATTTTACATCTTAGCCTCTATAATTAGATGTATGATTTTACATAAATATTATGACAAATTAAAAATATAAATTCAAAAACTGTATTTTCTTCTCAAATTACGTGTTCAATCGAACAAAGTTTACATAAAATGAAAGCGAGTAAAAACTACAGTATCTTTTTTAGTAGCAAATTACCAGATTTAAAAAGTTAAATTGGAATACATATACACGTACAGTCGTAAAGATTGAGTAGTCGAGAGAGAAAATATCTGTAAAAAAAATGACTTTTGTACTTTTTACCCAGCCTCCGTCTATCAAGCGAGAATCACGCGCGAGAGGGTGAGAGTGAGAATGACGTAAATGTTTTTTAGAAAAGAGATGGAGGTTAACGTGAATCCGAAAATTAACAGTGGACCCGTGTGTTAGTTTAATTAAAGACTTTACTCCTCCCTCTGTTGGGTTTCCATCAATATTCGCTTCTCCCTTATTCTTTCTTCTTCTCCACTTCCCCCCTCTCTCTATTCTCCTTCGATCTCTTTCCCCTTTCAATCCAAAATCACCTAAAATTTTTACACACACACACAATCACACTCATCACCGTCTATTTCTATCTCCCTATCATTCACACACATTAACGGGTTGCAGATCGGAGCTTCTGGCAGATCCGATTCAATTCTATATTCCTTCTTTCCTTGGTAAGCTCCATCGGTGCTTCTTTGTTCCAAAAGTCTGTTTTTTGGGCATTCTCAGCGTGTTTATATTGGATTTCGCGATTTTACAGAAATCAAGAAAAATTTGGATTCTAGGGTTAGGAAATATGGCTATTTACACTTATGTCTTTCCTTCGCACGCTCTAGTGCGCTGCGCACAAGGAAAAAGATTAGGTCTTGAGCTATGCACATTATATAACTACTCGATAATTGTATTTAAACTTTGTTGGTGAATTTCGTGTTATAAAAGTTTGCCTTTGAGAAACTGCAAAAAGGTTATTAGTAGGAATTTGATGTTGTTTCTAAGTTCGCTGCTGTAACATTATGGCATCAGTGAAAGATTCTGCTTTTTTGCAACGAGAGGATTGCATTCCCTGGTATAGTGTGAGGATGGAAGAAGCAATATTTTTCCTCCTTCATAGTTGTTGGTATAAAGTGCAAGGCTTTATGTTTCCTATGCAAAATCTTAGGCTTATGTGGAGATTGCAGTCTGTAGCCTGGACAATGTTCTCACTAGCAAGGATTCTCCTTTCTTGTTCTTTTGCTTGTTATGGGGAAAAGAAATCCAGCTCGTTTACCTTTTCATAAAGGATAAAAAAAGAAGAAAAGAATCCAGCTCAAGATAGAGTTGAGTTTAATGGTTAATCTAGTTAAAATTTTCACATGCTTCAGAGTTTCTGTTTTTTTCTTTTTGTTCTATGCAGTTCTTCACATGCATGTTCAGAGTACCTCAAGTTAAAGCTGTATTATATACCTCAAACTTTCTAAATGTGATGTTAATTATTTTGTACAATTCATCTTGCTTGGAGTTTTGATTTTGATGCCACTTTTGAAACCTGAAGGCAGTGAACTAAAAAAAACTCTTTCATGTATTAAGCTGGTTAGTAGTGAAGTTAATCATTTAGTTGAGAGAAGTTCAGCCACCTTTACTTGATGCTTGAATCTTGATGGTACTAAGGAATTCATATGTAGAATTAAAGAAATCAGCCTGTCATTAAATATTTTCCCTAAGGTTTTAGGTGCATAGTTAAGATTGGGAAGAGTATGTATTATGTATCCATTCTCATTCTAAAAGAAGAGAGTATTTATGTAGCCAGAGGTGGTGAGGCATTAAGGCATGCTTTACCCATTCAAGTGCATGTGACTGTCACATAAATAAATTGCTGAAAAAGATAATGTTTTGAAAAACTTCTAGAGCAAAATTGAATCGAGATAAAAAAGTGATCGATTTCTTATATCCTCCCGTGTTGTTTCTTTGCCATATTTTTCTGTACGATGTTGAAGTTAGTTGTGGAAACAGAGGGAAATATGTGTTTGAGCCTTGGAAAAACTTCTAGAGCAAAATTGAGTCGAGATAAAAAAGTGATCGATTTCTTATATCCTCCCGTGTTGTTTCTTTGCCATATTTTTCTGTACGATGTTGAAGTTAGTTGTGGAAACAGAGGGAAATATGTGTTTGAGCCTTGGTTAGGGACCAAAACTGTTTCCTGGTTTTTATGATTTTGGTTTTTTCCTGATCAAGTAAAGAACCACTACCTGGTTTTTATAACTGAACTATTCACTCACTTCACTAATAAAACAAAAGCCATTGAGTTATGGTGGAAGATACTAAAATAATTTTAAGATGTGCTCTACTGGGTTGACACTGATGGGTTATGCTTAAAAAGCTTTACTTTTGGTCACCTTTTTCCTTCTTCTAGTTTACTAGGGACCTAATTTCTTGGAAATATGCTAATGCCTGTGAATATTTTGAAGAATTTATTGTCGATTACACAGATGTTAACTTTCTTTACTTCGTAACTTTAAACAATAACTATTGAGGTAAATGATATTTGGGGCCTGTGGGTTAGTAAGACTTTCCATTTAGCCATCTGTTGGTACGAGGTATCTTCCTTTTTTGTTTTTGAGAAGGTAACATAATCTGCGAGGGATCAATGTTCCAAACTTCTTGACTATTGGCCAGTTTGGCCACTGGGTTGACTTGTCAGTGTTAAGGAATCATTGATTACCAAGAAGGAAGAGCACAGCTGATTATTTTAGTCTTTTTAGAATGAATGAAGATGTTCTGATGGTTTAGCAACTCCAAATTACTCCTTGAAGGCTAAGTATATAGTTTTGTTATATAGCTGGAGTAACCTCTCCCCTATTAGCTCCCCCGAATTGTTCTTGGATTTTGTTAGCTCCTTAACCCTAGCATAGGACCATCTGTACAGAGCTAACATATCTTCTTTTGTATTAGCACTTGGACTGTGCTCTTTTGCATCTTCTTGATGCCTTTTATAATATCTCGTACTTCATAAAAAAAATTATGATTTTATGAGTAGCGTAATAGGGTGCTTTTGTGCAGGGAGGGGGAACGGCTTGAGACAATTTTAGTATGTTCCGGGGACTGAATGGATGTTGTTAAGCCAATGTTGGTCCTAGGAAATTGAAAACTTTGTAATGAGATGTTTTAAATTATATTGGTAACTAGCCCATATTGTAGTATTGTACTTAAAAAGAAGAAAAGTTGATGATAGCATATAGGAGTATCTCACTTAGGCTGTCTGTACACACAAATCACGATGCATCATCTGTCATTGCGGTATTTATTTATGTTCCATTTTTGTTACTTGTTGTAACCACCCTTCTACATGAGATCAGTGATCACGATGCATCACCTGTCATTGCTGGTATTTACTTATGTTTCATTTTTGTTAATTGTTGCAACCACCCTTGTACATGGGACATCATTCTATGGGTAATAAAGTTACTCTCCGGTGATATACAGATATAGAAATTGTTAAGTGAAACTGTCTATATATGCTTTTTGTTCCCCACATTTCAAAATCTAATTGATCTGAGCATCGGCTGAGTCTTAATTATATCTAAACTTTTTTCCATGAAGTAGTTTCTTTTTGCTGTTGGTGTTTGAAGGTTCTAGTGTAATGTTCCATTATGAAAATATTTTGGTATTGGTTCTCTTAATTTGATGACTTGTATTAATGGAAAAGGTGCTCTCCCAAATCTGTTCCAGATTCTTGCTGAATTAGGCTCTTTGTGAAGCTTTTTGGATGACCTTGTATCGATATTTGGATAATGACTTCAAGTATGTTGGCAGGGGAGAAAAGGTAAAAAAAGATTCTTTTTATGTAAACACCCTCTTTCTTGTTTATTTTCCATAAATGCCCCTTATATTGCTTTATATGAACTTTGTTTTCTGTTCCTTGTTAAGTACATGCCTCCCCCTATTTCTTTGTTTTGAGGAAAAAAAAAACATTATGAGGCCAAAATCATACATATATTATCTTATTCTCTCTGGTCCTCTTCTCCTGTTCTGCAGGTTATGGAAAAAATTAGATTGAAAATAGTTAAATAATACTCCCTCCGTTCCAATTTGATTGAACCTATTTGGCTGGGTACAAAGTTTAAGAAAAAAGAGAAGACTTTTGAAACTTGTGGTATGAAATAATCCATAGATTTTAAAGTTAAATTGTTTCTAAATTTAGAAAGGGCTCATTCTTTTTGAAACTGACTAAAAATAAAATAGGTTCATTCTTTTTGAAACGGAGAGAGCATTCCTTTATATGACACTCTTTTCATTTTATAACGTTCCAATATGCCTAAGATCATCCCCTTTTTATACAACTTTCACAAATTTCGATTCATTAAAATTATTAAAATCTTGAGTTTGATATAATGTTTTCACTGTCATATAACTTATCAACGATTACTTTAAGATTCTTTTAAACAATCACTAATTTAATATATGTCAAATTGGCATCTTAAACTTCATGCCTTGTCAAATAAAATGGTATGGATAGAGTAGTTCAATTGTCTAGAGTGGTTTTTGTATCGGAAAGATGTCACTTCAAGGCCAGAATTGTGAAGGAAAATTTCAGATGTTAAGTTAAATATTCCATATGTGCTTAATGTTGCGGACTGATAACATTGCTCTGATGGTAAAGTATTAAATATGCAAGGACAGAGTAAAAGTGTGTAGACCAACCAACTTGAGGAGTGTCTCATATTAACTTTTATTTTGTTTTGTTTTGTGGCCGGAATTTACCTATTAAGTTTTGCATTCCAAAAGGCATAATTCTCTTTTACATAGATTCTTTTGCACAAGCTTTTTTCTCCCCAAAGAAAAAGTCAGTACTTTCTGCTAAAGTTTTTTTAGTTTTCTGCTAAAGTTGTCCAAACACCACACATTGTTTTGGGCAAACTATGATGCCTTGTTGGAGTAGGACCAAGTGAGAACTAACAATGAGCTCCAATGCAACATTTAATTGCTGTATAGATTGCTCAAAGAGTGATGCTTCAGTGGTGTGGCATTAGAGTTAGAAATATATTGGAGAGACCTTTTGTTGGGGTTGAGGACGAGAGTTCAAAGAATTCTGTTCTGATTTCTATGACAAATTAACCTTTTGGCATTTCTTAATATTGCTCTCTATTATGGTGTTATTAAGTTGGTTAATGCTAATATTAGATCGTGTTTCATACATTGGAGTCAGTATGATGACATTGTCTTACTAGTGTGATTGTATCATTTCCTTAAGTCATCCTGTAATTCCATCATTATAGGTGGGCTTCTACAAGAAGAGGTGGCATGACTGTTCTTGGAAAAGTGGCTGTCCCAAAACCATTGAACTTGCCCAGTCAGCGGTATGAGATGTTGGCTGATCTATATTTTTCCTTATCTGATCTAAGCATATGTTTCTGAAGTTGTATGTACTTAAATATTTTGAAGGTTAGAGAATCACGGTTTGGACCCAAATGTTGAAATTGTTCCCAAGTGAGTACTTGTACTCTTTTTTCTTTTAACCCCTTCTTATATTTGTGTCTGCCTTGGCCATGGCATTGGCACTTGTGTGCGATACTTCTTTGGGTTTGCCTGCCTTTTGGAGAGCTGTCTGGTATTTCCTTTGGCATTGTTTCTTTGTTGACTTGATCTAGGCCCTCTCCTACTTTGACATAGGGGTACATTGAGCTGGGGTAGCCGTACATCTTCCTCTACGTCAAACCCGTGGGGTTGCTCAACGCTCTCTCCAAATGCTGATGGTGGAACGAGCTCACCAAGTCATCTTAGATCCCGCCCTTCATCTGGTGGGAGTGGCACTCGACCTTCAACTGCTGGTAGTGATAGAACACAAGAACCTATTACCAGTGCATGGGGTACCAATTCTAGGCCTTCGTCAGCTTCCGGGCCATTATCATCAAACAAAGCACCATCAACGTTGGCGCGTCCACGCAGTGCAGAGACAAGGCCTGGCAGCTCACAACTTTCACGTTTTGCTGACCCTGTTTCTGAACATCCAGTAGCATGGGGAGCAACAGCTACCGCAGAGCGTTTGGTATGTAGTTTGTTGCTACTTAATGTTCCCTTGTGATGAATATCTCTTAGGTATTATTTTGCCAAATATCTTTTGTTCCTATTGTCCTTTCCCTGTAGTTTATTTTGTTTTTAGGGTGACAGAGAGCAAGAGGAGCGAGACACCGAGCTTAACTCCTTTTTTACACTTGATTTTTTCATTTTATATCTGCAATCTATTAGTTAAAGGAGTTAATCAGTTGAAGTAAACAAGTGGGATGTTCTACAAGAAAATCACCATGCTTGTGTAAGAGTAGTATTTTAAGAAGAGCTCGTTCTATAATTGTGTACAGATATGTGGATGTTCTGTTCTCATTTCTTGTCAATTTATTCCTCTGTATTCTGCTGTTCTGTACAATGTGATTGTTAGAAGCTAAATGTGTTAAAATAAGGTATCTCTTTGAAAAATGAGAATTGTTGTTGTAATTTACTAATTTTTAAATGTTTGAAAAGTGGCTCAAGGTCTATTTCTTAGCGAGGGGGCTTATCTTGATTGGAATGAAATTCATCTCTTTTCCTATGCTTTCTTTTTACAGTTTCTGCTCCCTTAAGATGTATCCCTTCCCCTCCCACTTCTGCTCCCCTCTCTCTCTCTCTCTCTCTCTCTCTCTCTCTCTCTCTCTCTCTCTCTCTCTCTCATATATATATATATATATATATGTATGTATATAGAGAGAGATAAGTTTGTCACTGTATTGGGTTTTGAGCATACTTGTACTTACAGGGAGTGCTGTTTTCTAAGAATGAAGGATTTTCTCTGAGTTCTGGGGATTTTCCTACTCTTGGATCGGATAGAGATGTATCTGGGAAGACTACTGAATCACAAGGTGACTGCCGGTCCTTTAAAATCTCCTGCATAATGTCTTTTATTGGTTAATTGCATTAGTTTTTGTTCACCTCAATGGTGTAAATACTGTTTGCTCACTCCATATTATACAATGCTTTGTGGAATCATCATTTCGTGGTTCTTTAAATGAATTGTCCATTCGCTATAGCTTGTCATTTCATCTTTACTCGTTTCACTGCCTGTTCGTGTACTTGGAGGCTAGAACTTATGATTTTGCTGACAATTATTAAGGTTTAAGAATGGGACATGTTTGGCTTAAATCTTTAAAATTTACTTTCTAGGGATGCTAAAATTGTAGTTGAACATTATTATTTCTTTTCTTTAAATGAATTGTCCATCCGCAAATGGCTTTTTTAATTTCATCTTTACTCGTTTCACTGCTTGTTCGAGTACTTGGAGGCTAGAACTTATGATTTTGCTGGCAATTACTAAGATTTAACAAAAGGACATGTTTGGCTTAAATCTTCAAAATTTACTTTCTAGGGATGCTAAAATTGTAGTTGAACGTTATTAATTCTTTCGTTTGTTCAATCCCCTCACTCCTTACAACAACTACGCCTCGATCCCAATAATTCTCTCCCCCTAAACCCGAAAAAAGAAAAAAGAAAAAAGAAAAAAGGAAAATATGAAAACTGTATATTCTGTTGCTGTTGCTGGAATGAAACTTTGCTGATTATTCTGTTGGTATTGCACTCTTAACTGACCGCTTGGTCATGTTCTTTTGATAGATCGTGATTCTTGTAGCCGTCCTAGCTCTGCTTCTGGCAAAGTAGCACAGCCCCTAGAGAAGACAACTGCATCTCATTCAGGTTTGCATATCTCGTTTGAGCTATATCAAGTGATTCCTTTTTGTACTTTGATGCAACAGAGTAGTCATGGAATATGCTTTCTGATGATGGTAAGGTAATTATACGAGTGCAGATGTGAAGGGTGAGACATTCGAGGCATGGAAAAGAGATGGTCAAAGTGCTGAGGATGGTCCTCAGCATGGCATGGAGAAATGGCAAGGGGATCCCCATCACTATCTTGGTCCTAATGTTCCACCCCATCATTTTGATGCATGGCATGGGCCTCCTATGAATGCTCCTGCTGGATTCTGGTATAGAGGACCACCTGGGGGGCCACCTTATGGAGCTCCAGTTCCTCCCGGTGGTTTCCCAATTGAACCATTCCCCTACTTTCGACCCCCGATTCCACCTCCTGCTATTGCAAATACACAGCCAGTTCCTCCTCCGGGGCCTAGATCCAGAGGGCACCATCCCAGAGGTGGAGATATGTATAGACCCCAGATTACCGATGCTTATATTCGTCCAAATATGCCATTTAGACCTGGTTTTTACTCTGGTCCAGTGGCCTTTGAGGGTTATTATGGACCGCCAATGGGTTATAGCAATTCCAATGAGCGGGAAATTCCTCTCATGGGCATGCCTCCTGGTCCCCCAGTTTATAATAGATATTCAGGCCCAAACACTCCTGATCCAACTATTACTCATGCCAGAATTGGCAGCCATGGTGCTAATGCCAAAGCATTGCCAGAGGGAGTAGAGTCTGCTCATCCCGATGATGCTAAAGGACCATATAAAGTTCTTTTAAAGCATGATGCAAGAGAGGAAGGAGAGACGTGGGAACATTCTGCGCCCTCTAATGGCCCATATCCTGATAGAAGCTTTCAGAGATCATTGCAGAAGCATGAGCGGGGAGGTGAGCATGAGAGGGAGAAGGAATTGTATTCAAGGAGAACTACCGGGAGTGGGAACTGTTATCCGCGTAGTTATGATGATAGAGGATGTGATTCTTCAGATAACACCAAAGCGAACTCATTTGAAGGTATAAATACTATGAAGGTTGCTGATGGCAGTTGGACAAAGAAACCAGGTTATGTGGAATCCTCTGGTGGAGCGCCTCCGTCTTCCTCAGAAGGTATAAATACTATGAAGGTTGCTGATGGCAGTTGGACAAAGAAACCAGGTTATGTGGAATCCTCTGGTGGAGCGCCTCCGTCTTCCTCAGCTCCTGAAAGGGGTTCAACTCCTGCAGTGACTTCCAGAGACTCATCCTTGATGCAGAAGATTGAAGGTCTAAATGCAAAAGTCCGAGCATCTGATGGATGTTATGAAGCGCCTTATGTTTCTTCCGAAGAGGATATCAATAAGTCAGAACTAAATCCGAAGGTTACCAATTCAATAAATGAAGTTAAAGGTGCTCTTGTGTCATTCGAAAGAACTCATACTGGAACCACTGGGAACAAGGGAGGCCAGTTAACAGCTACCATGTCAAGGTGGTTGTTTATACTGTGTGATATCTCTCAGATATGGTCATGGTTGTTTATACTGTGTGTGATATTTCACATATATACTGTTCCCTTTACTAAAAATATTTTTCTCACAGGAGACCAAATCGAGGTGTGCAAACCAAAAATGATAATCTTGGTAAAGCCCGATCTGATAGTCATGATGATGGTTGGAGAAAAAGGCCCATTGCTGCTGAATCATCTGCTGTGGCTTCTGCAACATGCTTAGAACCTGCTTCTAATGTTCATGCATGTGAGCCAGGTCCTCAAGTTGAGGCTGCTGAGCAAGCTTTAACTGATATAATTTTGAGTGGTGAGAAAGAATCCTTGTCAGAATTGCATGATTCAGCAGATAACCAAGCGCAGGTAGTATGTTCACCTTTTACTCTTTGCATGTTCCGGCAGTTACTTGTTTATTCCCTTTATCTAATCTAATGTATGCTACTTGCTTTCATTAGCGTGCAAAGATGAAAGAGTTAGCCAGGCAGCGTGCCTTACAGCTACAGAAAGAAGAGGAAGAACGAAGTAAACAACAGAAAGCCAAAGCTCTTGCTAAATTGGAGGAATTGAATCGCCGTATGCAGGCAGGTGATGCTTTGTCTCTGAAGGCTATAAAGGATTCGTCCCCTGATGTTATGAAGCAAGATCTGGAAGGCTCCTCACCCCCTGAACCAGTGGTGCCTAGTGTCAGACTTCAAGCCCGCAATGCAGCTTTAGCAGCACAGTGTGATGTAATTGATACTAGCAACCACATTCTAGACAAAGGCAGTGAGCATACTAATCCACCTATTATGTTAGAATTCGGCACTTCTATTATGGTCCAGTCAGAAATAGCCATCCCACAACCCCAAGCTTTGCTATCTAAGCAGGATGCCAATAGGGTTGCTACCACTCATGGAAAAGTTGCTTGTCAGTCAAGTGATGGGGGTGTTGTCAAGCATAAGCGTACTAGCCACAAGCAAAGGCCAAATATGACACCGAAGAATATGAATGAAAAATCAGTTCTGGTTAGCGTTACTGAAGTATCCAAGGGTCATAATGATGTAAATATTAATGATGTTCCATCAACTGAGGCTGATGAAGTTGGCGTAAGTGCTGAATCAAACATTGTTAATAATGCCAAGGTTGCCATCGAGTCTTCCGCGCAGCAGAGAAGGAAGGGTAATAGGACCAACAAGAACAAGCAGAAGCTTGATACTGCGCTGCCTAGCCCAGCTACTCCTTTACCAGTGCAAAATGATAGTAATCCTGCTAAAGTCTCTATGCAACAGGAGAAGTTGAATTCATCTCAGCTGGTTCTAGATGTGAGCTCAGTTCAGGCAGCAAGTGGTGATAGTGTTGTGCAGCCTTCTGATCAGAGTTCTCCTTTGCCTACGGAAGAAGGTCATAGTCGAGTAATTAACCAATGGAAACCTCAGCACCCTCGCAGGTCGCAGAGAAATCAGCACCCTAATGTGCACACTGATAAGTTTCATGGAGGTGATACGGTTGTGTGGGCACCTGTGCGGTCTCAGAGCAAAACTGAAGATGCTGCTGAAGCAAGTCAGAAAACTGCGTCTGATTCCGTTGGTCCTCTGAAGAGTGATAATGTGGTGCAGAGTAATTCAAAAAGCAAGAGGGCTGAAATGGAGAGATATGTTCCAAAACCGGTGGCCAAAGAGCTTGCACAGCATGCTAGTAGTCAACCGCCACTGTTGTTGTCAGGCAGTTCTCCCGGTTCAGATGAGACAACTGGAAGGGCAGACTCTATGCCTGAAAACCTACCTACTAGCTCTGTAATTGAGAGCTTTTCCATAGAGTCCAGGATTGGTGACGGCAAGCACAATAATAATAGGCAAGGGAAAGCACATGGAGTGTGGAGGCAAAGGGGTTCAGCAGACCTGGCATTGGACACCAGCAAGAACACTTATAAGTCTCTGGATCACACCAGCAAGAACACTTATAAGCCTCTGGATCACATTCGATCTTTGAAGCCTGATGGAGATTCTGCGAAATCTGAGTCGAAGTGTTCGAGTGAGTTCGATGTATCAGATGGTTGGAACATGCCAGGTGATTTTGAAGGTCCACGTACCACCATTCCTGTTGTAAAAGATGAGGGAACGACCGGTAAAGGAAAACGCTATCCTTCTAAGGGCCATAGAAGCACAGGAAATTCTGGACATCAATACAAAAACAGCAGTGGGGAAACTCAGCAAAATCACACTCTGTCAGGAGCTTCTGACATAAACCAGATGGACAAAAGCGCTGCAGCAAAGGAAAATCTTGGCATGGCTAATCGTACTCCACCACATTGGCAACCAAAGTCCCACATGCTTGCAGTTAATAATCAACAGGCAGGTGTGTCTACCAGAGCCCAAAATGTTACTATGGAAGGCGGTCGGGCTGATAAGAGGGATTATCATCAGGATAAAGTTAATGTTCCCCTACACGGTGTTAAGGGTAGCAGTGATAAAGGTATGGGTCAATCAGATCAATTAGCATCTGAAGATAAAATTGTTTCAGAGGTACCAAACGTTGGAAATCTCGATCCAAGAAGAGAGAGAAAGCCATCTTCATTTAGGGGACGCCCCTACTCCCCAAACCAAGGTCCGGTTGTCAAAGCTGAATTACCTCCTGCTGAAAGTGCTGAAGCTATGCAAGAGCGGAGCAACTCAGGTTTAAGAAGGAATGTAAACCAAAACAATCTTCCTGCCAGAATGCATGAATCTTGTGGAGATATGTTCTCGGGGAGAGATAATCGGCAGCACAGCACCTCTAGTGGTCGAGAAAGGCGGAGGAACAACATGCATTATGAGTACCAGCCAGTTGGGCAATACAGTGATAGCAAATCAAGTAATTTTGAAGGGGCAGCTGATGGTTCTCACAATGTTGGTCAGAGATACAGAGAGAGGGGTCAGGGTCAGTCAAAGCGTGGAGGTGGGAATTTCCATGGTAGGCAAGGTGGCTCTGGCCGAATAAATGCCAATTATGATTGATTGATGAGGAGGCTAAAATGTGGATTTAGGTCTTTTTAGTTTGTGATGGATAGCAAACTTACCGGATAATCTTTGCTTAGTTTGCATGTCTGGTGGTGCAGTCTTAGGTGGTAGCTTTTGACGTGGTAAAAGAGAATTTGTTGGCCAATGTCACACGGGTGAGCTGGACTACAGCCGGGTTTTGCCACATGGTTTTGGGAAAAATTATTGTGTTTGGTGCAACAGTAAGTGCGGCATTATGAGAACTGTAATTAATTTGAAGAACATTAAAATAGTTGCCCATTTTCTCCCCAGAAGAATGTCAATTCATATGAAGCATTTGTATGTTGCTATTACGTTTGTAGTTTTGTACCATCACAATTTAGAGGTGTAGCTTTTTCTCTTGGTCGAAAAGAAAGTGAGATGGGCAAAGTGAAGCTTGTTTTTGCCTGCTCCGCTGGTTTTCCCTATCTTTGAGCTTTGACTCAAAATCATCCTCTTTGACATGATGCAGTAATAGTCCTGATAGATATATCAAATTGGTGCAATTTTAGTCCCTTCTCAAAGAGCTGTTACTTTTTTAAAGGTTAGATTAGCTCGCCTGATTTTAGAAAGACTAAAGTGAACATGCTTAATTACAAGTTGCAGCAGGCTAAGATTAACTAGTCAGACGTGGCAGTAAGATTCCACAAGAGATAGTTTCCTTTTTTTTTTCCAGTTCAACATGTTATGAATCCAAGCAGCATTTTGAACGCTGTCATTTAGATACGCAAAGCTTTTATAATTCTCAAACAATACTTCCCCAATGAACTTTCAAGCGTTTCTTATAATTCTGATCCAACTCTCCTTCATATCTTGAGGGGGTAAAACTTTATTATACTTGGGGGTCGCATGGTGGGGTGTATAAGAATATTAGTAATGTTTGGATTAGTTATGCTGAGATTATTTTTTCTCCATTGTTTAGTTTGGTATAAATAACATGTATTGTAATTTTTTTTTTAAAAAGTTGTTTGTTTACAAAAATACTTTCCACCTGTGTTAGAGAGGATTTGAAAAAGGTTTTGGAAGGCAGTTCTGTCTCTATATGTGTATTCATATATCAAAACTAATGGTATTGCTAATATCATGATTTGCTATGTATAAAAAACACTACCAATAAGATATTAATAATATCAAAGTTAATAGATGTATTATTTTTTCTAATACATTCTATCAAAACTTATTTATTAAGTGAACATTATACGGGCTTAAAAAGTGATAAATGTTTAAATTTCAAATAAAAGGACCGAGTTCAAGCAGAAAACATAAAAAATAAAAAGAAACTGAAGAATGAAAAATCGAAAAGGTCCCTGGATGAACCCTAATTTCACCAATCTGACCCTTTCTCCCCTATAATCAATTCTCCTATCCAAAATCTCTACTTTTATTTCTCTCCCTCTCTAAAAATTGCTTCTTTATCTTAAGAAACAGATAAAACTCTTCTTCTTGTAAAGCAATTCATTACCGCTAAGCTCGTCCCTTGTATAGTTTACACGTATTTGCACCTCACCTGTATCCTGCCCTGTAAGTATTTTTCTTCTTCCTCTTCCTTGCTGCCACAAATTGTGTAAATTTGTTTATTGAGCTGTGAAATTAGGTATGAAGCGAAATTTTGGTGCAGACCTCCGAATTTTTCTACATATTCCTTGTTTTTATAGAGGTTTAAGTTTTGAATTTTCGTTGAGCTGGAGGAATCCACGAAACCGCTTTACTCCCCTTTTAGGGAGTGAAGTCGAACGTCATCAAATCTGTTTTGGGGGAAGGGGAAAAGATGTCTCTTATTTTCAATGCTTGCAAGACATTTAAGCTATAATTTAGTGTATGTGGAAAATCTTCCTGCTTTTATAATCGCTTGTCTTTTTCATTTCGCTTTCCTTTTGTAATTTTTCTAAAAAGGTTATATCTTTGATTATCTTGCCTCTGAGATAATATATTAATTTTGGGTTGAATTTTGATCTATCTGGTTTCCTGTTCTGTTAGCCATTGAGTCATATATCTTTGTGTTGTGATGTGTTCGTATACTGTGGTGTTATTGTAGCTCTTGGAGAAGTAAATCAAGTAATGACCTCGCTTGCTAGATGATTGCGCGTGCAAGGTGGAGATAATGGCATTGGCAATCCATCATTTGCAGGTAATATCCGTTTCCATCGCCAAATAAATTCAGTTTCCATGGCATGCTTTGTAAGCTTAACTTGGAAATCTCTATTTGATTTAGTGGACTCCAAGTCCAATATCATTTTCTTGTGGTGCAATTTTCTGTAACTAATGGAAAAATATTTCTATGAATTGCTCCTACCCTCTATGAATTGTTCCCTAGTTAGATGAAGAAACTTGTGAGTAGTTTCTTTGTTTTTAATAGCATGACGACGTTTTAGAGCAGCAGGTTGTGTTTGATCTAGTTTGGAATTTAAGCATTTTAAATTTAAGCACACTGTGAAAAACCTTGTAATATAATTGTATATCACACAGGAGATAATTAAATGCTTCTTCCTACAAATGAATCTCTCTGTTGTTTGCTGTTAATGCTCTGCATTCGTGATTAGTTGCTGCACTCTGCTTTAATCGTGTTCTTTTTATTTTAGCATTCATTTAAGTAACGTGATTTAGAGTCTATTGATGAGTGCATAAACATGGTACCACTTTTTGTCTGACTTGCATTTTGCGCTCTATCTAACTCAAATTTCCTGGCCCTGTTGACCATGAACTTTATATAAGAAAAATTGGGTCATATAATCATTTTGATGCCATTTTCCAAGTTTAAATTTCATCTTATAATGATTGTGAAATATATTAACGTATTTGCTAAGATGAAGAGTAAAGAAAACTTACTTTTACGAAAGAGGAACCATTAAGAATCATTTTGGAAAGGGCAATTGAACAATATCTGGGTAAAGCGAACTACGGATCTTCTAGGCTTTGAGTCACCGAGTTAGACATTATGACCATTTTATGCAATTGCATCTGGAATTATTTTAGTTCCAGAAGCAGCAAATGAACCTTGACTCTTCGTCAATCATTCCTTCCCAAAAGCTCTCCATACAGAAAGTAGTGGCTAACAGAAGACATATCATCATACTGTCTTTTCTGTTTGCAGAAAAGTCTCTCCATTGAAGCCTGCAAGTTTGTCAATTGTATTAATTAGACACGTTTTTTCTTGCAGGGTTCTTATAGAACATGTCCTTTGAGTTCTTCTTCGTGGACTACGGGGAACAAATTGAGACATTCGGTAACAAAGATTCACACTGTTAGCCAGAAAGATAACTTCATCTCGCTGAAGTGCAAATCCTGTTTGAGGTAGAATCTTGTATCCTCCTTTTACCTTTGGTCTTGATGCCCTATGTTTGCATTTATGGTCTTAACTTTTGGCAATCCTTGTATTCAGCTTTTTATAATCAAGAGGTCCACTAGCTGATTGACGTAAATTTTAAATGATATACTTCTATCAAATGTGGAGTGCCATAAGTATATTGATTAATAAATTATGTGAGAGATTGATGAGTCTGCTGTAATTGGTATTATCTGGATTAAAATACATGGTATTTTTTTTTGGCAGCTAGAATAGTAAGATTATCCTTTCTATGTCATTGAGCCCAAAGGATTTTGAGAAGTGATGCAGTTCTTGCATTGTTGAGTCGGGCCAAAGGTCTTTATGGTCACAACCTGTCTTGAATTGTCAATTGTCATTCAACAGTAAAATTCACTGGGAAACAAAGGACTAGAGGACTTACCCCCACCCCAACCCCCCTCAAAAAAGAAGACTAGAAGAATATGGTTGTCACTTATGATTACTTCCTTAGTATCAATTTAGGTGATCCCTTCTCTAGTGCGCTTTCTTTCCTATGGCTATGGAAACAGAGAGTTTCTTAATGAATTATTTTTCTTGATAAGGTAATGTATATTGAAATGAGCCAGCAAAATGCTGGAAAAGAAATACAAGCCAAAGCTGAGAAACGTACAAAGAATGTATGCAAAAATAAAATCAAGAATCAAGAATGGCTTCAGGCTCTAACAGTTTCTTAATGAAACTTTTGATTAGTTTTATCCTTATCATTTACCTATGAATATGTGTATGTTCTTTTCAGCTTTTCTGACAATTTCTTTTTCACTTCTACATATTTCCGTTAATATTTGAAATATTATCTTAACAAACTCTGGAAGAGAAATCTTTTCACCTTTCCTTTATTCCTAATATGAGATTTAGGGGATATAATGCCAATTTTTTTTTGAGTTTACTTTTGTAAAGGAGTCATATTTTGCGCTGATCTGACGTACCAAATGTTTGTATACCATCTACACTTGAATGTCAGTGGTACCAATTATCCAATCGATAAGCAATACACATGGTGGCCTAGATGCCTTAAAATCTCTGCATTGAGGTTTACATGCTAGTGTTGGGTCTTCATTTTGCTTGACGAACTAGGAGTTGCAAAGCCATCTGTTAAAAAATTTGTCAGGCCATATGAGGATTAAATAAAACCAATGGACTGTACAATTGCCACATTGTAATACTGGTTAAATTGGTCTAAAGAATCTCATTTCACTATTATATTGAAAGCAATGTGATGCAATGCGATGTGGTTTTATTTATTTTATACTCCTATTATTTATCCAGAAAATCTGCATTCAGCCTGGTAATAGATGGATTAGCACCTTCTGGCCATTTCTCGGTGTGTAGGTTTTAGCTGCTAAACAACGACCTCCTATAAATAAAGTAAAAAAAAAACAACAATGATCAAAATTAAAATAAAAAACTGCCATTTCTATTGAATGGCGCCAACATGTTTAATTTCCCTGAAATATGCTGCCCTATCGCCCATATTAGAAATTTTCAGTCTGAGATTTGGAGTGCTGATTTTCAGTTATGTGTTGGTCTTCCAAGATATTTCCTACATTGGACTGTTGAATCAGTTTATATTAGCTTTTTTTAGATTTTACTACATCCATTTCCATGTGTGTTGGTGTATATGTGGGCAAAAGTATCCCGCGTTCATGCAGGGTCCGGGGAAGGGCCACCCCAAGGGTGTGATGTAGACAATTTATATTAGTTATTCTAGATTTTACGACATCCATTTCCATGCGTGATGGTGTATATGTGATTGAGCAAATAATTTGATTCCAGAATAGGGGCTCCATTCATCCTTAAACCAAATGGAAAATCCTTGAAGATCTCAGCTTTCAAGAGCAACAGCCAAAATGAGTCTGGAGGCAGAGTGGGTGGGTCAAAATCCCTGAAGAATTCAGTAAAACTTTCTTATGTGCCACAAGAGAGTGAAGAAACCTCTGTAGAATCACCAAGGGCACAGAACGCTCCCATTTCTTACTCTGCGGAAGCAGACGAGACTACAAGTTATTCTGCCATACAAAATATATTTAAAAGCTGGTTAACATTGTTGCGTACACCTTCACCAAACCAAGTTACAGATGAAACTGT